ATTGCCCCTCCCGTGGTTGGCGCGTAAACGAAAAATCTGTCGGCTCGTTCTCATATGTATGAGTGCGCGGATAATGTTCGTTTTGCCAACCCGTGCTACACATCTGTGGTAGCGACGCGCGCGACGCTTGTCCGTACGATCGTCTCATGTTGCGGGCTTCCTGCGCTTCGATGTCCGCGAGGCGCTCGTGTAAAGTTGGGGCGTGTCGTGTCGGGTCCGTCGCTCCCTATGGACCGAATGTAACGCGATGCGCGTCCGATCGTCGACTATCGTTTCGTTCGACGTTAACTTGACGAATAGTCGGTTGTGCATCAACGTGTGGGGACGGCAGCATATTTTGACTGAGTCGCTCCAGCATATTTGAAATCTGTCGCTGTTCCANAATTGGTCGAAAATTGTATTTAGTTGACTACTTATAACGCTATTTTTCAACTTACAAAAATATATATAACTGAATATTATTATCGAACAACTCAGATGTAGAAGGAACAATTCAGCAAAATACCAGGCTGTAAAATATATTGGCTATGCATATAATTAATAGAATATATTATCGTTATCACGCTGCTGTATCAATACTCATTTATAAATATATAAATATAATGTAAGTTACTTTACTGAGTATTATAAGTCAATTGAATATGGATAAGTGTTAGCTAATGTCTTGGTTCATTTTCTGATAAACGAAAGAGAAAACTAAAAATATTAGACTTTGAATTAATGAAGACGATATGCAAGTATTATCTCAACAAAGTGAATTCAAAAAAGATATATGTCAAGTTTATTGCCGAATTCTTACTGAACTAAAAAAATCTATTTGAAAAAATGTCTGAAATCGCTGAAGATTTTGAATTTTTGTATGGTAGTAGCTTGATGAATAAATAATTGGACTATATACAAAAATGTGCAAGTCATGTAAAAAAATATATTACTAATTTTTACTAAATTATATTATCAATGAATTGTATTTTAAAAACAATAGAAGATTTTTTTAAAAGTTCCATTATTACAGTGAAAATTACTTCTAGCAATATAAAATAAAAAAATTTTTTTAGAAAATAAATTATTTATTTTGCGTTTTTTAATTACTATGTATTAATATTTTTATATATGAATATATACAAATTGTGTTAATGGTAGAAATTTGATGAGCAGAGTTCTAGAGAATGCCTAATTATTAATAACTACTGACAAAATAACGATGATTTTTTTTTTTTTTTTGACAGACTTGGATAACACAGATTCTGAAAATGAAATTGTGCAGAGTAATGTTTATCATAAAAGATTTAAATAAAAATATTATTTATAGTTATCAACAATAATACAGATTATTGTTTAATTTTGAAAAAAAAACAATTAACAAAAAATTAAACCTCTAAATAATTTTAAATATTTTAGTAATTTAACAATAAAATATAGTATCATTATAATTTATTAGTATCAGTTAATAATATAATTCATTCCTAAATTTGAATACTATTAAAAAGATTAAATAAAATAACTAATCTACTGTGTTAGGTGTAAGATATAGTGCTAATACCATAGCAGGAGTTAAGCAATAAATTACTAACATTAAGATAGATGCGACTAAAAAGTTCATTTGAATAATAATATAATTTATTAAGATAATATTTTTAATATATTATTATCATCATTGATTTCTAGTGATTCTAAACGACCTTCCTTCAAAGGTACAAGCCTGTCCACTCCTTCTGGATCCAGGCAGTAAATATCTAGATCCAACCACAAAATATCCTATTTTAATATATTAATTTTTTCTATTAAAATATGATCGTACTATCAAGTGAATAATTAATTTTAAGTTTGGTTCACTTTACATTTTAAAATCTATAGTAATTGCAGATTTTGTTTCATATTTTTCTTTGCCTGTGATAGCGCAAAAAACATGTTATAAAATAGTTGGTTGCGAAATAAAAGTAGAAGTCCATTATGCCGAAATTCAATTAAAGAAATAATTATTATTTTAGAAAATTANACGACCGATGACAACCGATTGTCATATTAATAGCTGGACGGCTGATATCGAGAGAGACACGGGTGAGCGCCAGCCTAGAGCAAAAGGCGGTGCCGTGTCAATATTTTCACTGCTCTAATGCTAATAGATTACTAATGAATCGTCAATATCATAAAAATTACAATTATGTAGACACAATCAATTATTTTATGTAATTTTAATTTTAAAAAATACATTTAACAAAAAAATTCATTTTTACAATCTTTAAAATGCAAAAAATGTCATATTTATATTATTTTTTCATCGATTTTTAGTGGCTCCAAAACTCTCCAATAAATCCTTTAACCATGTATTACTAGTTTTTACTGAAATAGGAACGTACTAAATATGAATTATTTTGGTGTAAATTGATTACAGCCCTTTTGACTCAGATTAATAAAATAAAATAAAACCAAATTTATACTATTAATTTGAATAAAAATGTAGAAACCTTCTAAGTAATAGAAATTGCTAATATGACTACATAATTAATAATTTTAAATTTTAGTACTTTTTTAGCTATTTAATATGATAATAATTTTTTACTATATTTAGGTGGTGTAGATGGTGGTAGTAGTAAGTAAAAATTATTAACACTAAGTTACATGTGAATTAATTGTTAAATTTTTAATTATATCAGTTATTAAAATATTGATAACAATTTTAATCATAAGATTTTACATTTTAAAGATCTAAAAACGTTTCTCTTTATGATGGAATGTAAACTTTTAAAAATATATCTCGAACTATAGAGGTCATATACAAATTTCTGAGAAAACCACTAATAATAAATGCATTTATCCGTAATTATTTAAGTTATTTATCCATAATAAATTTCTGCCATTGAAAAATGAATATTCTTAGAAAAAAAATAGAGGTAGAACGATTTTCAATAAACTGACTATGTACAATATATACACACATTGTTATCATTGCATACATGTAAGATATAATATATTATTTACATATTATGTATGGAATGTTTTTGTAAGAAGCAGATTAAGTCAAATTATTAAATAATGCGTTAAGAAGTGTTGATGTTATTTCCATAAGTAATTTGGTTATTATTTTATTGCTAATTGAACTTTAATATTCATAATTACAACCCGGTTAATGTATCTCGCGTTAATCGTTTTCTGAATAATTACCGATTTTGATTTGACCAAATTCTCACAAAAACCATTCAAAAGTAAATTAAAAATACAAGGGTGAATTAAAATATTATCATTAATTATTAAAATCGTTTTAGTTATAAGACGATTGGATTAAAATTTAACTGTGGCAATAATTAAAAGTATAATTTTTAATTCATAATTTTATTTCAAGACTTACCAACAAAAGATGATTGAGGATCAATTGTTCAAAATATTCTGCTCGATATTAAAAAAAGAATTCAACTTTTATTATTAGACGAATGACATAAATAATCCAATCAGAAGTATGTTTGTCAACAAATGAATGCACAATTGTTATATTGATTAATTAATTTAATTTACCATTTACTGTTTTATTTATTAAATAATTTACTAATTTAATTATAAAAATTATATAATTTTGCTTTATTTATATTTCTAAAAAAAATGTTATCGATTTCCTAATTGTAATGTTTCACATCTTTGATAGTATAATAATATCTTGATGATCTAAGGTCTAAATTATTTATTACTGAACAGAATTTTGCCATGTTTATCTTTGACTATATTGCTGTATGTCTTGGATTTATATTGTAATTTTTTAATTCTATTATAGGCTTGACCTGTATTATCGTAACTCAAAACTTAATAAAATAGAAAAAAAAGTTGAATATTCTTTTGATTTAGAACTAACTAATAAAATATTAAAATATAATAAAACTGAAAGATATGTCAAATAAAAGTGAGAGTTACTTTAATTCGGGATGTGAGTCGAGGGTCATAAAATAATATTAATATTGACTCTTATAGATTTGGTGTCTTACGTGATAAGTTCTTGGTTCTTAAAAGTAGTGATAGTATTAAATGAATGATTGATAAATAAAATGTTACAATTCGATTTAGTTCACTACTTTAATACGTAAAATTTTCGACAATGATGATCATAATGTACGCGTATTGTTATCTAGTGAACGATTTGTAAGGGTTAATTCTGCCTTTTTACAATACTTTGTATGCCCGATAAATCATCATTGTCTCGTTCTTACAATATTATTGTTTATTAATATGTAAGCATAAAATATAGAAATTATTATGGATTTCATACAACATTAGTTTTTAGCTTTGATGCAAAGGTGAGGAGGTATTAATTTTACAATAATGTATTTTTTTTTTTTTTTGTGACTGTCAAAAAAATTAGCCTAAAAAATTGATATGGCTTTTTGGTTGATTTGTTATTGTAGCAAATGAAAAAAGTCTTTTTACCGGCGTTGATGACGTAAGTGGAGTATTATAACAAATAAATACTTGTTTGATTGTTGGATATTTGTTTAGATTTTGAAGATCATTTTCTTCATCAGCAAAGTAATGTAAAACTTCCAATTCTGATTTTGGTAAACCAATTAACGCCAAAGAAGAAGATCCAAAGTCAAAAAAGTCGTCACTTGTTTGATTTTCATGTGATTTTTCTAATTCTAATGGTGTATTTTTATCAACAAGTATATCATCGTCTGTTTTTTTGAAAATTTGAATGAGCTCGTCATGACATTCCGTTTCAACGCATGTTAACCAGCGTTTTTTAAAACGCGGATAAGACAATGCTGCTATAGTAGCATTAAGAGATTCGGGAGAAGTCAAATTTAAATAATTTCCAAATCTTTTCTCAATACTTTCTAACAATGCATTGATTATAGGTTTACAATATATCCAAATATTATGGTCAGGGTTTGCTAATATTTTGATTTTTCTTCTCAACGTTAATAGCCATGGCAGTACTACACCATAATATGTATTTATCTCACCTTGCATTATATCTAACGCTTCCGAAATTGGAGCTGTACGCTTTAAGTGTTCTTCAATGTTATTAAAGTATTGTTACCGCAAACAATTTTTGTTATTTATTTCTAGAGTTCTGTTTAAATTTGATATATTATTTTTAATGCTTAATATTTGTCGAAGTGAGTCGTATAAACTATTCCATCGGGTTTCTCCTGGTCTAATTAGTGTATGTCCTAATACATTTTGAATTACTTCAGCCGATTTTGGCCGTCCAGCTAATTTCCAAAGAATATTAAATTTTTTAATTACTTGGTCGTGTATTGAAGACAAATCAACAGACCTTTTAATTACTTTATTTAAGTCTGTAGTGGCACATAAATTAAGCGTATGAGCAAAACATCTAAAATGTACAGATAATATATTCTCAATTTCTATCGTATGACCTACAACATTTTCAAACATATAATTTTCGTTTGATTCAAAATCTGACTCAGATTTATCGTCATCGACAAAATTTACTTCTATCTACTATATAGATGTTTTGTAGCTTAATTCTAAAAATTTTGAACGCCTTAACAAAATTGCTGCCATTATCAGTAATCGTTGCTACAATTTTAGTAGGACTAAGGTTAAATTCAGAATTTATTTCATTAATTAAATCTGAAATTTTGTCATAAGTATTACTACCTTTAAAACGACGGCAGGCTAAAGCCTTTGATATTCTATTTAAATTATTTATTGATATCCAATGACACGTTACCCCTAAAAAACTTCTTTTTTTCCGGACCAAATATCAATTGTAGTACAAATAAATTGTACATCTTTTAATTTTTCTTTTATTTCGTTTTTCTTTTTTTCATAAAAAGTATCAATTTACCGACAAAAAGATCGACGGCTTAAAACACGAAGTCCACAATCAGATATGTTTAAGGCATCAAACATTTTAAAAAAATATGGGACTTTAACACATCTTAAAGGAATCATTGAATGTAAAAAAAAATTAATCATTTCAGTTTCGAAATTTTCTTTGGTTATTTTAGTTTTCAATTTTTTAACAACTGTTTTAATTATTTTATTCGGTGTTTCAGTCGATTTTAAATAATTTTTATATTCTTCAACAACCTCCGGGCCATGTCGCCGTTTTAAATGGGTAACAAAATTTGAAGTCACATTTTACACATTGTACAACCGTTTTATTTTGTTGAAAACATGATTTTTCATTCAAAAATTTAAAAAACTTACCATCCATTGATCTTGGAGGGAAGGAGTATTGGTAGGTAGAGTTGTTTGAGATCAAGATGTACTGGAGCTTTATGATACAGAATATCCTTCACCGTCACTCATTATATTTTTATGTAGTTACATACAAATACAGATTATACAATTTAATTTATTACACGAGATCAAACTGCTCGTAAAAAAAAATAACGAAATGCAATAAACATTAAAACCAACTCAATACTCATAATATTTTATTGTGCGTTTGCAGAACTTTACTGTTGAAATTGAGAAAATAGAACGTTATTTCAAAAAAAATATACCTTTCAACATGTTTCAGATAAGATAACGCAAAATATACCCGATTAATGGACTATATATACAGGGTGATTTTTTTATCATAACCCACTCAATTACTTGCAGAGTAATAATAATTTAAACATTTTTTTTTTTTATTATCTTTAGTTACACATTATTCTTGAATTATTAACTATGTAATACTTTTTAAGTTCATCCCATATGCTAGTTTTCCCATTGCTAGTTAATTGTAGTAAGGCACATTGTTATGAGTTTATAAATACACTAACTGACAATACAGAAAGTATATCTATTGACAATCATAATTGATAATAAACAATCCGTGACGNATATCTATTGACAATCATAATTGATAATAAACAATCCGTGACGAGTCACAGATAGTCGAAGACATTACCCTTAAAAATTGAAAAAATTTCCCTCGTTCCCCGTAAATGGGGGAAACCTCCGAAAAAATTACAAATTTAAAAATCTCTAATTTTCGAAATTTTCGAAATTTTTCTTACTAAAAACTGCCGTAACTTTTTTAAAAAAAAACATATCAATATAATTATATTCTTTTTTTTATAGATGCATAATGTGATTAACTATCATTTGGTATATTTATTTTATAAATCTGACTTTTTACCTGCCCACAGGGGGGGATTTAAAATGACAACTTTTTTACAAAAAATTAATTTTTTCAACTTGATTTTTTAAAATGTTCTGGAAGGTCTGACACTTTTATATATATCTTAAATTAAAGCTAATGTAATGTTCTTTATTATATAAAAAAAAAAATTTCGGACTTTATTTTGTCTTCACGGTGAAAATGGCTACCAAATGCTATTATTGTGTGAAAATTCTCGATTTTATTTTTTACATTTTTAACTTTATAATGCTATAACTTATTGAAAAGTGTATGGATCAACATAATTTTTTTATGAGAAATAATAATTTTTAATAATCCCTTTTTCATTCGATATACTTTATCTTAATCAGGATATTAATAAGGAACTAGCAGTTTATGAAGCTTTTGAAATAATCCACCAATTTTTTAAAATTAAACACTATCTAAAGATTTGCAGCGAAGCGTTTTTTTTTTATAGTGATTTTAATCACTGTCAGATATCATTATACTTAATCCAACTATGCCACGTCACCACTGTGCCGCGACCCCCCTGTGCTGGGTTTTTTTTTGTTTATTTAATGAACAAAAGTGTTACGTTCTCTAATCCGTTGTGTCTTACAGACCTAACTTTTAACAAATAGCTGGTTAGCATGGGACATTTGGCCAGCTAGAATAATGGTAGCCATGTTTGACGCTAGGTGGTTCCACGGAAAGGGTTATGTCGCATTCTCATAAGTAAAAGTTGTGGTTGTACATTTTTTCTGATCCCTTTAATTTGCAGACGATATTTTTGGCCTAGTGTTAACTGTTGTAAAACCTTTAACATTTTATTATAATCATGACAACGTTAACAAAAATTGTAGAATATAGAGAGTCAGCAAATAATGCAAATTAATGCATGTGTTTCCATCGTTTGAATTGCCTTTTCCAAATATATTGAATTAGTATATTTAGTAAAAATAATTATTATTACTTGTAGCTTAAGTTTTATATTACATATGTAACTTTAATTTACTATGTAATACAAGCCAGAAACAAAACTATAAAAAAATAAGACTTTACCACACTAGACAAAGTTCGAGGTATAATACTAATGAAGATTTTATGCATTTGCTATTAGTATTAAGTGNAGATTTTATGCATTTGCTATTAGTATCATATGTATGGATCACTATCCATACATATGATCAATGAAATTATTTTCAAAAAAAAATATAAATAAATTTTCTATCGATGTACAAAATTTATTTGTCATTTCCGAAACGAACGTCGAAGATGAAATAAATAAATTAGACAATTCAATGTCAGAAATCGAAATAAATGAAAGCTAATTATAAATAAAAAATGTAAAAATTTAGATAATCTTATTATCTAAATTAATAATCATAAACTCTTATTCTTGGGCGTTCCTGGACGCGTTAAACGGACTCGTGTATTTTCTTTTTATTACCTTTAAAAAATCATCTTCCCCTAGTTTATATGGTCTTTGTGAAGTCATCTCATCTAAACATTGTAAAATGTCAACTTAACTACGAGATTATGGTGTACGTCAGTTGCCAATGACTCAACTCATTGAGTTGATAAATCATCAACTTTATTTTATTTATAAGTCTACAATTGTCTATATTTAATATTTAGTTTTACATGGTTAATTAGAGTAATTTTTTCTAGTTAAATAATGACTAATAAAATAATTTTAAAACTTGAAATAATTTCTATTTAAATTGATAGAATAAGTAAATTAGCTTCAATATTTAATTTTCTTATCTTTTTTTAAATCATATTCTGGTTCTGCTCTTGCTCATTGCGATATTTCATCAAACTGGTTGGTGACTTATGATTTAAATTTTTCTAATCCCCATGAAAGTAACAAATAATTCTGTTGAGGCCAAAAAATAATCTATTCTTTGTAACCTTTCAATATGAAATATCATTATATTTGTACAATAATTTTCATTATCAAAAAGTAATATCTAATCTATAGTAAGAACATTAAACCAACTATAACTAGTACAAAGGACAAGTATGAAAATAAAAAAAATCTATAATATTTAACAAAACGTCATATAAATACAAACTTTTAAATATCTGTTGTCAGTTAACAGCCGTTTTGCAGATCCAAAATTGTTGGGAGGCTAGAGAAGGTCAAAAGTATGTTTTTAAGGGGGAGACTTCTACTGTAACTCCTTGATTTTGTTCCTGTATCCAAATTCAATGTGAAATTTAAAAAAATTAAAATATAAGCACATCCTTAATGTATATACATTAAATATTTTTAATGAAAAAATTATTCGGAAATATTGTGTATAAATTGAACTACTAAATTAATGTACAATTAAATGTAATTTATTTACCTGATTGACTTCAGACTGGGTTTCTAAATGCTAGTACAGGTCTCTAAAAAAATATATTCATAAATAAACTATCCTTAATATTTTCGATTAGCATAATCGATATTTATCAATATTTTTTATATTAACTGAAAAATTAAAAAAAATAAATTTATTTTTAGCTAAAATTATTTTCCACGAAACTTTTAGATACATAGTAGATAATAGGAGTGCATTTACTTTTGTAAATGCGTACATATTCAAGTGAGTCTATTGTTCTAGACCCCACTGACCAGGAGAGGACTTAGGTATGTGGTAGCCCCTGGGCGGAATGCATTGTGGGCCCCCTTATACATAAATAAGGAAATATATTTTTTTACTTATTAAATAACAATTATTATCATATTTGTGATACCAATGTATACCAAATTTGTGGGGGCCACTGGGCTGCAGCCCATTCAGCCTTGCCAGTGTCGAAATTATGTGTGATCGTCGGTTCATCAATAATAATAAATTAATAATTAATACTTGAGTATTTTTATTTTATAAAACAAGTATAACAATTATGTAATTTTTATAATAGTTTACTCACCACATTTATTACAGGCGTGTACTGTTCTTTATCATAAATCAAGTATATAAATTTTTCATTTTCATCATTTTTAACAACAAAACTTTTATTGAATAATTTCAATCCATCGTAATCTGTGTATACGCATATTGGTGTTTTTAAATATTTTGCTGCCGCAGCTATTTCAGACTTCTCTTCAATAGGTGCCGAACGTTTTGTCTATAGAATAATTAAATAGAAAACAAATTAAATATTAAGAAGAAAGTAACTTCGGTGGAAACACTTATATAAAGAAACCGTATTAATATAATTCGGTAGGAGGTACGCACAGTGAACCTACAAGTCTAAGTTCATCGGCAGTTCTTTCCCTCCTCTATAACAACTAAAACTAAACTAAACTAAAAAAAAAACAAAATATTTAGTGCCTTAAAATTTTAAAAGGGTAGGCAATCTAATATACGAACGCGTTTATAGCATGATTAATCGACGCACAGAACACCTCAGAGGAAAAATTTATTTATATACAAAAGAAAATAATTAGAGAATGAAAGGGAAAGAGTTTATTTTTGTACACGAAATGAAGGAAATAAAATTCACTTAATTCCAGGCGCGCTATGGTCGGTCTGGTCTAGTGCAATGACCATAATACAAATACTTAACATTCAATATACAACATAACAATTAATTTTAAAGTTAGAAATTGATAAATGAAATTATATTACAAAGCGAATATCGACTTTATAGACTATATTGGACTTATACAAATAGATTGAATGTATTCTTCACATAACAAGTATCGTAAGTGGACTGAAAATTACATATTTATAATAATACTGTTAAAGATGACCAGGAAAGTTAGTGCACATAAAGAAAACGTAGCAATAGGGTTTTACCACAATAAAAAAAAACCGAGATTTTATTCGCTTTAATAATTTAATATTTTTAATAATTGCTTTTTGGTAATTAGATTTCAAAACAATAACGAAATTATTAAGATAAAATAAACTGCTCATCATATTATTCCAATAATAATACTATAGCGAGACGAAAAACAAAACAAAGTAAAATAACCAACTAAGGCAAATTTTGCCGAATAACAAAAACGACGACAATAAGAAAAACAAATTTTCTTATACTGGGTATGTTAATAATAATACATTTACTATTTGAGGGATGTTATGGAATGCGATATGAGGACAGCTGATGTGAGCATAGATGATGTGGAGATCGTGTCAAGTGGAAGTTTAGGATAAGGGTGACCGACCCCAAGTAATTGGGATTAAGGCGAAGAAAAAGAAAAAAAAATTAAAAGAAATTCCGGTGGCAATTGACATAATATTATTGTTGTTTAATTGTACAATTTAGCGTTTGGTTGGGTTTAAACAATATAGCGTCAAATCAATTACCTATTCTATCAGTTGTATCTTAATATACACTACACTCCAATGATACTATAAATAAATAAACTCATACATACACACATATGTATTTTGTAACATTGTGTCAAATATAAGTATAACATGATAAAAAATAACCGTAAAATGAAAAAAATATAAAGTAAATTTTAGTACTCATATTAAATGTAATAGAACTCGAAAAATATTTGTTTAAATGAAAAAATAGATAATACTTTTTTTGTAAGTTAAATATTTTTTGAGAAAATTAAAAAAGCTTATATTTTTGAACTCTTGCAAGTCTGTAAAAAAAAAGCTCAATTCCAATTAATGAGGACTTTTAGTATGTCATTATACATATCTTAATTCAACTTTAAAAAAAAAAAACATTTATTTGGGAATTTTTTCCGCTATTTTTCCTTTGTTGACTGGCCTAAAAGGAAAATAACTGGAGATAAAAGGCGCGGTGCCGCAATCAACTTATAATTGTTTTTGTTCCTGCAACGCTTACAAATGTACTAACTGCCTTCTTTTTATTTCACTTTTATGTTCGATATATTATTGAAATTATGTTTTCATAGTACTGTTAATCTAAGTCATTCTTTTCAAACAGTTAAGCAATATGTTAATTTAATTTTTATTTGATAATAATAATTTTCCTTATTAATTCGTTACGTAAATTTTTAGATTTCATGAATTCATATGATTTTAAAGTTACAGTTTAAACATACAAATTTTATATTATATTTTATAAATAAAATATTCCAAAAATTGTTTCATTGTAATCGAATACATTTCAGGATTTGTAGAACATACCCTATATGTATAATACTGTTCACGTTAAGTTGGCAACCAACGTTCATTTTTACTTCTATTTCAAAGTTATGTAGCAAGGTCAAAATTGCTTTAATATTTTTCAAATTAATAGTTTTGTACTTAATTTTTTATGTGCACATTTGAATAATTAAAAACATAACAATTTTTATGAGTCATTATATACAAAAACTACGTTTTTTTTTATTTGTTCGTATCTCAGAAAACATTGGAAATGAATACAAATTGATAATTAATATTGGGGTATTTTTATTTTATAAAACAATTATAACAATTATTTAATTTTGTTAATACTTTACTCATAGTATCTACTATAGGCATAAAATGTTCTCCTTTATTAATCAAGTATATACATTTTTCACCATTATCATTTCCAAAAACGTCATCTTTGTTAAAAAAATTCCATCCATTGTCATCTGTATATACGTATATTGATGTTTTTAAATATTCAGCTGCCGCAGCTATTTCAGACGATTCAGCATACACTCCTAAAATAGAAAATTATTTTAAACAAGTCATAAAAAATAGGCTATGGTAATATATTCGTTGAATGAACACTACTAATAAAATATCATTACGACTAATTGAACTTTAAATATTAAACATTTCTATAATTACTTATGAAACAAAAAACATTTTTTTTTGTTTTTACTTAACTTTTTTTTATGTTATGGAAAAAAAAATTCATTTTGTAGTCCAGTGTTATTGTCAAAATGGACAAATCTATTGCGCGCAAAATATTATATACCGTTGTCTGCAATATCTCTCATGTAATTTTGATAACTCAATTTTTTAACACATGAGAGGTATTCTACAAACGTATAATAGTAGGTGTTTTGTACGAGGCAGCTAGACTGTAGGACGGCTAGTTATGCACCGCACTAGTATGCCGATTTACCTTAAGCCTGTTTAAATCGTTAATTATTGATGCGGGAGTGGGTCACCTAGGAGATGACGGTTAGCTATACATCCAATAAGTAAACGAAAGTAGACAATAATTAAATAACAAATATTAGAATTANACGAAAGTAGACAATAATTAAATAACAAATAATCACATATATTAGAAATTCCTCAGAGAGTATCTTAAATTTAAGGGGTAACGGGAGGGCTCTTAAATACTAATGGTCGGCGAAGCGGCATAAAACAAAATAGTTAAACTCAATTAAAACAAACAATAAATAACATTAAAAAATAATATAAACTCAGCTGAATAGATGACGTTGTTGATAATGATGAATGGACTGTATGATATCTTGTGGTAATGGTGTCGAAAATCTGAGTATGACGAGTCAGAGTGTAAATCTAGGTACATAATGGCAGATGAGAATAGACTACGGCAATGAAGATATTTAGTTATGGTCAGGGCCCAATTACTAGTGGCATGTAAGAGCACGTTAACTTTGAGCACAAGGGTACAATAAACAAGTAATAATAAACTATGGCGTACAACGGCCGGACAATTTACCATTCAAGCGAAGGCGCTTGCAACAGAAAAAAAGTGACACAAAAAACAATTCACTGACTGACTTACGACAATAACCTGTACACGGATGACAATTGACATCGATTTATCGTGTTGGGTGAGCAAGGGGGAGAGTAAAGCAAGACGCTGGTGATCAGCTGTCCCACGAAATAATATAATCAATGATCTATGTGACAACTGGTCAACTAGATCCTTCTATAGGCGTTCTGTACCATACAGTAGGTAACCATAAAAAACAAAGAATGGATAGACCATTTGTATACATTTTACTTAAGTTGCCGCGATCCTAGAGAGCAGATACATCACTGTCTCACAAAGATACTCAATACCATAATGGTTAATGCGGTTATGAGTGAAGTCATAACCAAAAATAATATTATCCATGTTATAATGTAATAGAAATAAAAATTAGTAATTAAATTTTTTCATGGAAATAAAAAAAGAAGTTCCATAGACGGACTTTGAGAACGTATCATAAGGCACATTCAGTAGCCTATCTAATCATTATTGTCCATGGAGAGAACACGTGAGAAGTTTAATTTTTTTATTAAATTAATGAAGCTGTGAAGATAACACATTAATGTTCTAACTTCATAATATCTCCAATTGGAGATTGTCATAATATTCGTTTATTTTATTTTAATTCAAGGATAAAAAATTTTAAAAACGTAAATTTGGCATATATTTTTTTTCTTGGCAACTATGATTTGTTAGTGTTCTTACACTAATATAACTATTATAGTTATTGTAATTTCTTACTCGAGTCGTGCATCTCATCAATACGTTTCTGCCATTTATAATCCAAATTCATTAATTTAAAATTCTTAGAATAAGCCAGAAACTTAAAAAAATTATTTAAGAGTAAGTATGATAATAAAAACATGATACTAAGCTATTAATTTATGTATAAATTATTTACATCGATGATTTTTTTACGTAATTCTTGACCAAACTCATCTGAACCTGTTATCCAATATGATAGTGCATTAAAAAATAACTTCCGTCTCCCTTAGTTTCAATTTTTATTTTCTGAGATTTTAGGAATTTATAGTGCAATTCTTTGGAAGAAACTCCTATAAAAAGAAGATTCAATTCGTTGCACTTTGATACCTGCCATTCAACATCAACAGGCATAAAAATTTGTAAGGGTTCATCATTCTAAAAAATAAAATTTGAATAGTGAATTAGAGTTACCTAATAAATCTTTTTAATTATTACTTTTAGAAATTACTTAAAGTCTTAAAAAAATTAGCTAAAAAAATTATTTCAAATGAAAGAAAAATGTATGATGTACTTATAAAAGATAAATTGTATTAATCTATATATTTTTCAAAAAGTTATAAAAATATTAAGTCGAAAAAATAAAAATATGAAATCAAATTAGTCAGCACAAATAGAGTATATATTTTAACTACAACAGACATTTGCATATAAAAGATAAATTATCAGGGCAAATTTTTTTTTTAGCTTATAGTATTAATAATAGTAATACATAACATAAGATTTTAAAACTTTAAGACAACGTACTATATATTATAGTTTGAATAAAGGCAAGGAAAAATAAGTAGAAGATATCTGACAAATAAATACTAAGATTCAATTCTGAAAATTTCAATTTTAAACAAAATCAATAAGAACTAATATGTTTTTGCTATACAGGATGATTTTTTTATCATAACCCATTTAATTACTTACAGAATAATAATAATTTAAACAATTTTTTTTATTACTATCTTAAGTTACACATTATTCTTGAATTATTAACTATGTAATACTTTTTAAATTCATCCCTTATGCCTGGTAAGGATTTCAACTTTGTTTTTTTAAATAGCAACACATATTTTTAATTTAATAAAATGTTTGAGTTTTTAATTCAATAATAAATGGCATTTGAATTTTTAATGAAACTATTTGTTTATTAGATATAATCATTTAAAGTTTCAAATTTTTGAGTTAATATATAGGTATAATACACAAGGGATTACAAATACAGGTAGCTAATTGATTTTTTATGACATCGATATTAGCAGGTACACAGCATTGTTATTATCAATGATAATAAGGTACATTGTTGTGAGTTTATAAATACACTAACTGAAAATACAAAAAGTATATCTATTGATAGTCATAATTGATAATAAACAATCCGTGACTGTGATAGCAATATCATAAAA